CCCAAAAATGAGAACCGAGTCCAGGAAGACCTCAAAAGTTTCGGCTACGTGATACTGAACCGCGGATGTGGGCTGGAGTAAGACTGAGTTTGGCTTAGAGGCGATCCAGAACTCCCAAAGTCTTCGTATAGTTCTTCGGTTCCGTGGGTTTCGTCGGGTGCTGGTGTTTTTGAGTTAGGCGTGGCCGTGTTTGGACCGGGGCCAGGCTTGAAGGCTTGGTAATTTAGGAGTATGGGGTCATACGATGTTGTGCAATATCTGGAGTAGGGTATTGTGGAATTGAGATCAACATTACCAGGGGGTTGGGTCGATAGGGGGCCAAGGCCGAAGGGGCCCGGGACCCGGGGCGCTTGTGGTTCGGTTGGGGGTTGTCCTTTGTTCTGTGATGGTGATGGATTGGATTCGGGATCGGGTTATCGCGCGCTACCGATGTGTTGAGTGTTGTAGTTGGAGGGCAGGGTCTTGTTGGCTTTTGGTAGGAGCTGGCCTTCAGTGTGGGACTACAGGATGGGACACGGAGCAGTAGGGGGTTTCTTTGTTGGCTGCACAGAGCTATATTTCTCTAATCTAAGATGGAATGAAAGCCCAAGCCATTCCCGGTTTCGGTAGGAGTCTGAGGATGGACAGGGGTTGATGCCTTTGGGGAAATGTTACAACGTACATATAGACTTGCATTTAAGAAACTAGACGCTAAGTTACAGTCACAATTTGCATATTGAAACACCCCCCCCCCCCATAGATCAACTCTCCCCGGTAGTGCCGATCCTTCCACCCAAGCTACGCCATTTCAGGAACAGAATGAGACATCCTGGTAAGCTCAGATAGATCAGGGTGCAATCCATGCAGTGAAAGAAAATCAATGCAGGAAAAAGCCCCTTTATCAGGCAACATGGTTACACCTTTGGCGCCAGGAATGGATGTTTCAAAGCCTCGGCCGGTGTGATCCGTTTTTCGGGATTGAGACTCAAGCACCGGTCAAGTAGATCCAAGAACATTGTCAGCTCTTTGACCTCAGCATCCGGCATGCCGCGTGTTCCTTGTGCCATGAGGCGTGACTTCAAGTCACGTGTAGGTTTCTTGAAATCCACAATTTTGGTGTGAAGGCGGCCGGTGATCTTGTCTTCCTCCACGCTGTGGAAGTTCAGCTTTTCATCAAAATGATGAGGCGCCAGGGATCCGCGGCGAAGAAGCTTCGGCGGGTACTTTCCCCGGCATTCCATGATGGAGCGAAGCATCTGGTTGTTATTTCGGCCGGTGAAGAGGATTTTGCCCGTGTACAGCTCAAAGAGGGTACAGCCAATAGACCAGACATCGATGGCGTAATCGTAAGGGATACCCAGAATGATCTCCGGGGCACGGTAGAAACGACTGACGAGGTAAGGCGTAATCTCATTGTCAGAGGCCGGCGATGCCGAACCCAGGTCGCAAACTTTCAGGATGTTTCGTTGCTCGTTTACGAGAAGATTATCCGGTTTAAGATCTGCATGTAGGATGTTACACCGGCGGAGGAGGCACAGCCCCAGGAAAATCTGTTGGCCGTAGGCCCGAACCGCGCGCAGGTTCAAGCCCACATCCCTACCGAACTTTTTCAGGACCTCACGTAAGTCCATGCTGAGGTTCTCAAACACCATGCACAAGTGACCCTTGTGCTCGAAGTATCGGTCGAACTTGATGAGGTGCATTTTGTTTTCCGGGTCGGCTTCCTGCAGTTGCTCTAGGATGCCGATCTCCTTCATACCGGCCTTGCGCATTATGGCGTTTTGGCGAATGATTTTGACGGCAACCAGACCCCCTGTCTGGGTGTCAGTTGCACGCACGACCGACGAGAACATTCCCTTGCCAAGGTTTTGATGGACATGGTATCGTCCGTTGATCAGCTCGCCGAGTCGAACAGCGTAGTAACCTTCCGAATCGTCCCAGTTATCCATCATGCTGATATCCAATTCCTTGCCCTGGGGTACAGCTGTGGCCGAAGCATGCGCCGGCTTGGCGTCAGGTATTTCCTCTGCGAACATGTCATCGTCGTCGTCTGCAAACATATCGAACGTGTCGGTCTTCGGCGGTGGCGCTGGGGGCGCATCAGGGAGAAGAATGTCCTGCTTGACATTCTTGGTTTCGTCGTACGCTGCAGAGGAAATGTCGTCTCTTCCATCCTGTACGTTGCCATGTTTTTGTCGTTCTTCTTTCGTATCCAGTGTTGGATCATAATCAGCAGCAGAGGCACCATCTTGATCAGTACCGCCAACAGGCGCATTGAAATTGACCATGTCACTGTCTTTTCCAATGCTACCAGAGAATATCTCCCCGGGTTGTTCGAAGGGGGATGCTCGTGGAGAATCTATTGATTTCACACGCGTCAGTTTCATTGCTACCTAGGTAGGCTTGTCCAAAGGAAACTCACCAAACGTTTCCTTTACGCTAGTTGGCTTAGTGCTAGGCGTGGATGAGTCCGTTTCAACCTCACCGACGTTCAGTGCTTTGAGATGTAGCGGCGTCGCTTGGCTTCGGTGTTTCGCCCGAATAGCTTCACGGCGTTTCCGGCGAGCTTCAAGGGCATCGGCTTCGTTAATGGGCTCAGCGAGCTCCGGCTCTTGCACAATCTCCGGGTTAGGGGTGGTTTCTCTGGATCGGATGTTAGTCACACGATGTTCTTTTCGGTTACAAAACAAACGTACTCGTCAGCCACATGAGCTTGAAGATAAAAAGAAGCCTGCACCTGGTTCTTTTGTTTTTCAGCACCAAGCTTCAAGTCCTGGGCGACGACCGGAGCCTTTCCTCGTTCCCTCACCAACTGTTCAGTGGGCAAGCGCCTTGCGGTATCCGCTAAAGACCTGGCATTGACCACGTTTGAATCAAATTCATCACCGGAATATTGCTTGGGTCTTCTCGATTCACGGTAAGGGGATCGGCTACGGCTGCGGGTGCGCTGCCGCTTGTCCTTGTGTCGGTCATGTCGGTCGTAATCATCACTGTATCGTAGCGTTTCTCCATGGGTCTCTTCGCGGTCATAATCGTAATATGAGTTCGGGCGCCTGTTGGAGGTGGGTCTATCACGGCGTCTGTCGTCATACCTAGACCTGTAGTGTCGCGGAGGCTCATAGCGGGGTCGCCGGTCGTAGCTACCATCATAGGACTCGGGAATATCGTCGTGATTACGCTTATGGGTCTTGTTCTCTCTGTACGGGGAGCGAGAGCGGGATCTCGATAGGGACCTGGTCCGCGACCTCTGCCGGAGTGGCGATCGAGTGCCTTTCAACGACGCGGGAGATCTGGATGCAGAGGATGGGCTAGCTCTGGTGGGACGGTCAACGCTGGTGCCATTAAGAGGAGATTTTGACGCAGTTGCCTTCGTCTCTGGGCCTGATTCGACAATCTCACCCTCAGAGGGGACCGATGGGGACCTCGACCTGGGATGTGACATGTTTACAATGTTCGAGGGAGTCAAACAAGGTGCGTGGAATTTTTTTTTATCTTGGATTCACACGGCCTTTGGGGGAAGCTTCAACAACAAGGCTCAGTTAGCAAAAGCTCCAGCGACAACAAGTCTTCTCAAAGGGTTTGTGAAAGTCCAACCGGCTGTGAGAGGCCTGCCTTCACACCAAAGCCTTGCAAAGGTGATTGCAGTCCCTAGCGCATTGCTTGCCGAGGAAACAGGCTTGGGGGGGGGATGAAAGCACGTGCACAGGAAATTGATGACAAGATGAGATAGACTGAAAGCCATGGCGAATGCTCGATGGGGTCGAGATAGCGCAGAATCTGCGCTAGGCCAGTTGTAGTAGGCGGTCGGCTGATTTTCTGCCCTGCGGTGAAGCTTGGCGGGACCGTAATTTTCAAAATGCCACTAACTGCTTCAAGGCAAGGCAAGCGGGTATTCCCAATACTAGGTCTCGGTTGCTGGCCTGACTCTCCACATTGTGAGTGTGTATGAGCTTGAAAGAATACAGGAATATTTCCCACTAGTAATATTTTGAAAAGTGCCAACCTCGCCCCAGCCTAGGTGGCCACCAAAGGTGGGGATAAGCACCCCTCTCTGTGTTGTATGTATTTTTTTTTTCTCACTGCCAACGCCGTCAACGCCCCCCTAACAAGACTCCTTTTAACCCGCTCTCCCAGTGATTTAATTCAGGAAAAATGGGTGGTATCGGCAGAGAAGGTTCGTTTACTTCACGTTCTAATCTTTCTAATCTTTCGTGAAATCTTGTTCATTGATATCTTGTGATCTACAGGTGGCAAGGCTAAGCCCTTGAAGGCTGCCAAGAAGGAGAAGAAGGAGCTTGACGATGATGACATCGCCCACCAGGCTAAGCTCAGGGCTGGTATGGCTCTTTGAACACCCTATTTTAGAGATTCGCTAACTGACAACTTTCCTCCAGACGCCAAGGCCCGTAAGGAGATGCAGGATGCGGCCAAGGGCAAGAAGGGTCCTCTCAACACCGGCCAGCAAGGCATCAAGAAGTCCGGCAAGAAATAAACGGATCGCATACCCTCGGCGGAATCACTTGCCAAAAATCCCCACAACGAGCCTTGATGCCAGGTTTCTTGAGTCCATCTTCATGACCTACACGAGCTATGTTCAATGAGAGAGCGGAGGATGGGTGGCTTCGAGTGTGTGATCGCGCCAGCATCACTGTACTCATAGTTCATTTCTTTGGTTCTGCTGTATATCTTTAGCCACCAATACCTATTTCGCGCTTGATCGCATTTTCACACACTACGAGAGTTTCCAAGAAGGATGAATTTTGTTTAAACGGTTGTGAGATTAGTCGGACCAAAAGTACATCAACATAAAACCGCCACAACTTGGGCAAATTCCGAATAAAGTGGGTATCAACCTGCCACGCAGGGGAATCGAACGCTCAAAACGCAACCACCATGCCCCAATATCGGAAAACGAACAAGTTAAATGCCCTGAAAAGAAGATGGAACCACACAGGACGCGAACAACTTCACAGTAGCATCAGAAATAAGTTCAAGATCAGCCGCGCATAGACCAACTCACAACCCAACAGCAATCAACAGCCACTAACTAGTGACTCGCTTGACCCAGAGATTGTTGCCATCGCCAGAGTTCTCCTTCTCGTCCAAGCGACGCCACGCTCGAGCAATCTTCATCCCAAGATCGTGCTCTTCTTTCTTGATATCCGCAATCTCGCCTTCGATGTCATTGATGCTTTTCTGGACCTCGGCTTTCGCAGCCAGATCATACGCAGCTGAGGTAGGCTGAATGGCCTTACTCAATTCAGCGATCAACGTCTCCAAACTATATTTGCGCTGAGCAAGATTGTCCCTCTTGGTCTCCATTGCTTTGATGCGGCCCTGCGCGTCTAGTGGCACCTCGGGTGGGGGCGAAAGCGACCGCGCGGGCATCTGCCCGACAGGTTGTTCGACCTGGGATGGAGTGGGCTTTCGGGCGGGCTTGGTCGAAGTCGTCACGCCGGGTGGGACTGGGCGACGGCGGGCCATGATAGAGGATATCGATACATCGTCTGTCGATCGGGTTTCGAGCTGCAAACTCTCCCGCGGACTTGCATCTTGACTTCCGGGTTCGGTGGCTGTGTATGTAGTTGCACTGAAACGGCTCCTGGACTCATCACTCGTGAGCATCAGGTCGCCGAAATCGTTGTCGAAATGGAGTAGTGGCTTGTCCTCCTCCGGCAGGCGGATTGGCGCGTGCTCTGTTACCGGTCTTCGGGGAAATGACACTGGACCACCGGCGGTGATAGTGGTTACAGTTGTAGGAGCGAAGCTAAAGTTGTCGAGCTGGGGACTCATCTTTAGCGCACCGTTGCCGTTGCGCTTGCTGGAATGCTCCTCCACTGGAAATACACGTGATGTCGATCTACTTCTGGATACCTTTTGTGAAAGATCCTCGTGCTTCGAAAAACTGCTGATCCGGTGTCGAGCTGCGTTGAGAGTCTTCTTGGGATTGAAGCCTTGGCTCCGGTTGGACGTAGGAGCCCCGAAGGCAGGAGCCCCGGAGGCTTTGTAAAAAGAGGTGTTGCGGGTATCAACCTGGCTAGCTATCCCAAAGTCATTCGGTTCGGCCGCAAAATTATCCCAGCGTGTCAATTTGCCAGAGATAAATCGTCTAGAATCCTGATAATGCTGGGGAGGTTGGACAGGTTGAACCCGGGAATGAGCGGGTGTGCCATCATAGTCTGCCTGGGGAATAGGAGGTGACGATGATGGTATCCTAGTCTCCTGTCGCGCATCCTCCGGGAAATGGTCTTCATCCCGGATAGGTGAGACACAGAAACTACTTAGGCTTGCCCGACTTTGAGCTTCAAGTATCGGCGAAACAGTAGGCGAAAGGTCTAAGGGTCTCTGGATATGGTCCCCCGGGATGGAATCCAGCTGTAGTGAATGTAAATCGCTGGTTACCATTAGATGTGCTATTAAACACGTAGCAAACACACGACTTACTCAGGCAGTGCGGGCAGTTTTTGAGGGACCATATCATGCACAGGGTCTGATGTGGTGGGTGGGTTGCCATTCAATATGGGGCCGCTGATCGAGAGCCGTTTGGGCTTGTGAAACGGCCTTTTGGACCACATATTATCTCACGCTCCCACTGCGGTACAGGATTGATTTTGGTCGGAAAAGAGAGGGCAGAATTCCCATAAAACGATGAAGAAGCTCAAATCACAACCAGGTTGAAAAAGGGAGTGACGAGAGGTAAAAGGAGCGCAAAAATTTGGAAGGGGTTATATCTTTTGGGCCACAATGCGCAGCCCACCACAGAAGCCTGTAGAATATAGGACGAACGCAATGATTCTACAGATATAAAAACGACTCGAGCGGCTAAGCAGAAAAGGATGAGAAAGAAGAACTAGACAAAAACCAACAAAATTGAAAATTGAAATAACCTGGCATCTGCTAATATTAATAGAAATGGCCAGATTAAAAATGGGGGTAGGTCTAGTGGAGAGAGCTCTTTGAAACATTTAAGGGACTGCCGGCCATTTGTTACGTTTTTGAATCTGAAGCCCGAGAGAGCCTAGTCTCCAATCGATTCACTAGAAAAGTAGCTAGATGATTTCTAAATGTAATCCTTGCGAAGAAGCCAAAGAATGGCAGAGAATGTGTGAAGGATCACGTGGAGCGGGGGGAGAGGTCGATGTCATCCCGAACCTCCGGACTTGCTGCTCTCTTCAAAGTTCAAAACACAATCTGTCGCAATGGGTAAATGTCCCACGTTGCTCATGGTCGAAACCACTGCTAATTTGGGAAACTGTAGATAGTTCAGCACCACAGGCTGAAGTGTTCGTGTCCCCCAGATCCCACTCGATAACGGAAGACGAGACACCAACCCAACTAACCGCTTGCTACCCAACAGGATGTCTATCGCTTCCCCTATCAACCTGATCCTAGTCTCCCTCTTTGGAGTCTTGGTGTACTGGCACTTCCGGCCCAAGGCGCCAATCACTCTCCCCCGTGCTCCGCCGCCAACCGTCTTCAAGACCTACACCCCCAAAACTCTTCTTCAGTTCAACGGCGAGGAAGGCCGCTCCGTCTACCTGTCCGTCCGCGGTCGCGTCTTCGATGTCACCCCTGGCAGGAACTTTTATGGGCCGGTATGTCTGTGGATCGTGAAATGCCATCGGGCAGCGCCGTTGGAGCCGAAGCTGACTACAATGATTGGTATAGGGTGGACCTTACGAGAACTTCGCTGGTCGGGACGCCTCGCGCGGCTTGGCTTTCCAGAGCTTTGATGAGGAGATGCTGACCAAGGACCTGTCGGCACCGTTGGATGATCTTAAGGATTTAGATGCGGAGCAGCTGGAGAACCTACAATCGTGGGAAGACCGCTTCTTGGAGAAATACCTAGTTGTTGGAAAGTTGGTCGCGGAGGGCAATCCCGAAGCTCCGAAATAGGGACCGCCTAGTAAAAAGGAGTGGGCGGATACAAATTTTGGAGTGTACGACAATGACCGATATGGAGCGTGTACAAGGACGAGTGTGGGTTTCCAACACAAGGATTACGTGTTTTGCTTTTTCAGCGTCAATTATTCAAAAGCGAGTCAATGGAATTTCGGGTTTATTTGAAACACTGTCAATGCCCTGGAGTGTAATGCAGCTGGCCATTGTTCTGCTGCTGGCATTAACGCACGATAGAGACGAAACTCCGAACACAGCCGAACCCATGCCTCGCCCCAAAGATCAGAATCTCAGAAACCAATATGACCAGATAAGAAGAAGTTGAGTAGGCCAGCAATATCCATGAAACCATCAGATGCAAGGAATCCTGAAGACTTCAACGTTTCCCATTTATGGTCTTCTCGGTTAGTCACATCGCCCATCCCACTAGCTGTTTAAAACTTGGTGAAACGCCAATGAAGTTCCAGAAGTTCTCTAGAGGGGAGGGGAATTCCTGTGATGCTTTTCGCAAGACATTTTTTGGGTTGGCGACATGGGGCTTGTATAAGGAGTCAAAATAGTTGGTATGTCTTGACGTTGTAACTATTTGGGGCATTCCATTTAGATTAATTAGGATAGTGAAAGCTACTTACGAGTAGAATCCATCTCACTAATGGGTGTAGTAAAGATCTAAATTTTTTTTTTTTTTCAAAAATTCCAATGCACCATTGAACACACACACTAAGGCCATTTTCCGGTTGGTCAACTTGGGAGGGTCTGATGATCGACCTCGTTGCTGGAAAAAGCGAGGATGTTCCATCTTCGGGCCGCAGCTGGACCAGCGATCTTGCCTGTATCAGTGAAAGCTTACATTATCATGGGAAAGGCTGACCCGGAGAATAGGGCTCGGTAAGCGTTTGCTCTAGAGTAGCGACTTGGTATTCTCGTTTTGACGCTGGCGAGGATAGGGCCTCGGACAGTAGACACTTCACTATAACGGTGCTAGCAAGTCCATGATTTTGATGTGCACACAGTAGGTACATCCATCTTTATAGACATTGGGGGGTGAATCACCCTGAGGTTCAAGTAATTTGATTGGATGGGAAGGTGAAAGGGGACGGGAGTGTCAAATGTGGATCGCTGCAGATCAGTAGATCACGTAACCATGTACGGAGTAGTTAACTAACTAGGCAATTTCCACTTACCTACAGTTTCGACATGGGTAGTTTACGAATCCATCGTATGCTTTGCTATCTCGGAATCAAGAAAGCGGTTAAGAATCTACAAAAAACGCACATTGGAATTCAAATTTCAGATCTCAAATGTCATTATCATCGTAACTTAAAAAGATATCACAAAATCATGTTTGAAGAAGCCAGTGATCCCAACTTTGTCGCAGAAAAAAGAAAAAAAAAGAAAAAAAAAGGATCTGAATAGAAGAACTGTAGTTTAAAGCTCCTCACGCAGTCTTTCCGTGTGCTCGGAGACCTTCTTCTGAACCTTTTCAGCAGCTTCAGTGCCTTGGGCGCGGCCGCTGGCAGCGCCGATCTTCAACTGATCCACAGCCCACTGCAAAGTATCCATGATCTTGGCGTAAATGGTAGCTTGGGGGCTTGTGGTGCCGTACTTAAAATACTGAGCGTTGCGCCGGGCTGCAGCTCGGAGCTCATTGATACTCGAGCCCTGGTAGGTAGGAATACCGTAGTTGTCCAAGTATCTCTTGAGCTCGGATTGCGACCATTGATCGAAAGTGGCATCCTTAGCTGTTTCAGTCGCCTGCGCGAGAGCAGCAGTTGCAGAGGCGTACTGTGCCCCGCCAGCCATGGAAGCCTTGGCGTAGGAGTCTTGGGCACTCTTGATAAGCTCTTCGCGTGAGGCATCAGCCTGCTGGGCAGCCTTGTGATTCACCGAAGACAGGTATTTGCTAAAGAGGTTAACCAAGGATGTCTTAGCCAACAGACAGGTACGTACTTACACCAGATGTTCTTTATCCCAAGTATCAAAGTTGTACAGGTTCCATCCACCGGCAGCCTTGTGGGCGCTGGCGCGGACCTTAGCAACGAGTTCATCCCGCTTGCCATTCTGAGGGACGGGAATGTTTCGGGCATCAAGGAACGCCTTCAGGCGGGATTCCGACCAGCCATTCAGCGCAGTCTCAAAAGCATCCTCGATCTTCAGCTTGGCATAATCGGTAGCGCTTGCATATTCATTCCCAGCTTTGGTGGTAGCAGCACCAAACGCACCTTCCACAGCGGAAGAGGCACTTGACACCTGACCGGAAAGATAGTGACGGTTCTTTCGGGCCAGAGCAATGAGTTCATTGCGCTTCGAGCCTTGAGGCACCTTGACATTATGCTCGTCAAGATATTCTTTCAGCTTCGAGTCAGACCAGGCGTTAAAAAGCTGATTACTCAGGGTCTCCTTGGCGGCCTTAGCTTCGGCGGATGCTGAAGCAGCAATGCTCTGAGACTGCAAGCTGATAACGCGCGAGTTGCGGCGAACAGATGCAATGAGCTTGTCACGGTAGGACGGCTGAGGCACCGGCCATCCACGCTCGTCGAGCCATTCCTTGAGATCCGAGTCAGACCACTCCTCATACAGCCAGTCTCCGGGGTAGGAAGCCGCTTCACCAATCTTGGTGGCGATCTTCTCATAGTTCTCACGCGCGGTCATGATCAGAAGGTCACGCCGGCGGGGCTGGGGGGAAGGAATGCCGTGGCGATCAAGGAATGCCTTCAACTGAGAGTCGGACCAACTATTTCGGTCAGCTTTCATTCAGGACAGGGATACGTGAGCAGCTTACGTGTCAAATATCCATTCTCTGGCATGGTGCAGCTCATGATTGATATTATCGGCAGCTTGTCCAAGGGGCTTCTGCACTCTGTTATCCCAGTTAATTTTGACCAGGTTCTCCAAGTCACGGCGGTCGGCAGGACTGGGGTGGGGGATATCTAAGTGAAGTGTGAGTGCATGAAGCTTATTAAAGAGGAGTGCCACATACTATGGTCCGAGAGCCATCGCTCAAGCTCAGTTTCATGCCATTTGTTGTAGACTGTTGATAGTGTTAGCTTGCGAAAGGAGATCTTAGTACCCAAGAAACCATACTAGCCTTGCTCCACCAGCTGGAAGCCACCACTACATCAGTGGAAGCGAGCAAGCAGATGAGGCCAGTGGCCAAATGCAACTTCATCGTGGGTTATGTTTGATAGAACGATAGTGCTTAGATGTTTGGCAAGAATGAAGTACGAATATGCCAGTGAAAAGAATTGTGAAGGAAGACGTTGAAGAGAGCCGCAAAAGCAAGAAAGGGTGGATGATTGCGCAGTGACGTAGTTGGGGAATTTGCCTTGGATTGAGCTGGAGTGCATGAATCATCAATTCTTTGGATATTCTGCCCAGATTTGGGACATGTCTAAGGTTGTTTCTTTACATGATTATTATATTATCACTTCTCATCTACAAAGTGCTTCTGCTCTACACATCTTGGTCTCTGGGAATTGCCCAACACCGTTTAGCGTGCTCATGCATCCCCTTACCGCACGCACCATTAAAAGCCTTACTTCTCTCCCATTTTGACTCGCCTCGGTGATTTGCAATTAGTGAGTTGCTTACCATTGATCCCGTATCTCTAGAGCTCTGCTCGCATCCACATACTATGCACCTAGATGTGGATCTGCGGGTGCATCCAACAGATCTCCAGTAGCATTATCCAGGAGAGAGAGAGATTTCATCTGTGCTCACCGATTAAATCAAAAGCGATGAACTGGCTGTCAAGAGAGAACTCGAAATCGAGCCCCTCTATCGGATGGCATTGGAATGTTTTCTCCAAGGAGCCAGTCGTGGTGTTCCAAAGCTTGAGCATTTTACCCCTTGGGGAAGTTGCCAGAAGGTGAAAAGAATGGAGGACCCGAATTTGATCTTATTGCCCATCCAGAGTTTGTTCCAGGAAGAAAGAGCCTGTCCTGGTGTCTGCATCCCAGAGCTGGATAGTGCCCCCCGAAAGGGAGGCTGGAATGCGGCTATAGGGGAGAATAGATCACCTCACAAGTCTCACACGGCTCGTCTGCAGACTTTAAGCCTTGTTAGGTCGGAATAGGCTCAATTGTGGACTTGGCTATTCTCCACGGTTTGGTCTCTTTGTCGACTGAAGTAGAAACGAGAACTTTGCCGCTGAGTGCTAACGCACCATCCGATCGAGGAGAAGCTCCCAATGGTTGCTCTGAAGAAAGACTGATAATCTGGCACCACATTGCAGCTTTTCCATCATCCGTATCGCTGTTAGTGGAAAAGGTCATTGACCTTACCCCGCTTGAATGGCCCTCGTAACACCGTTCGGGTTTTGGTATACCTGGGCCAAAATGCCAAAATTTGACTGTTCCGCCGATGCAGGGACGAGGAATTGACTGCCAGGGGAGAAAGCCATAGAGAACACGCTATCAGTGTGTACGAATTTTTAGTATAATGTTCTCCGTGCTCATGTTCTTGTCCGTAGTAGGTCGTGGGTGTAGTTGCAACCTTAGAAGACCATTGGCACTAATCCTAACTAGGAATAGCGCGAAGCATCAAGGCATCAAAGCATCAGCCTTGGAAGGAAGAGAGGGGTGCCCAACGAGGTACTCGAGTTTATGATCTTTTGGGAATTACTTCTCATTGTCTTTGAAATAAACAAATTCCCTTCCATCTCGTCAAGGTTGAGAGCGAAATCTCCAATGTGACGGATTGGTGTAATCAGCTGTAGTCACGAGCTCCCGAACCCCGACCTCCTCATTTGAGCTTCATACATTTGAAAGACAACAATGGACTCATACTGTCGCGAGCTGGCCTCGCCAGGCGTTTTCCAGACTGTGCTATCTGTGTACGTTCTCCCGAGTCGAAACTGAGAATGCCTCCATAATCACTGACGTGCGATAGCCTGATTATCCTCGGTATAATCCTCTCATACCTCCCCCAACACATCCGCATCATCTCCCGACGAAGTTCCTTCGGTATCTCCCCATACTTCGTCCTCCTGGGTGTAACATCGGGGACATCGGCATTTGCCAATATCCTGGTATTTCCATCCACCGCGCAAGATGTCGCCTGCTGCCAGGAGATCAGCGGGATTGCATGCTTCGCAGGGCTGCTGGGTGTCTTCCAGGTGGCCATGCAGTGGCTCTGTTTCTTTTCCATGTGAGTTGAACGAAGCACTGCGAGGGTTTAGATTCCCCAATTCCCAATTCCTGACCGAACACCCACACTCAATGCCGAACCCGAGCTTGCCTAACTGGATCTAGTCTTTTGTTATACGTAATCTATTTCCCGCGTGCCACTTCCCCCACAGACCCAGTGGGCACCGTATCTTCCACCTCCGGTGGGCCGACCTACCGCACCGCGCTCGTCATAACGGGGATATGTCTCTTGCACGCGCTTGTCACGATCATGATTTCACTAGCGTTCGAATTACGCCACCCGGCCGCTGTCTCGGCCTGGGCGAACTTCCTCGGTGTTCTAGCTGCGATCCTCGCGTCGATTCAGTACTTCCCGCAGATCTATACTACCTTCCGGCTGCGTTGCGTGGGGAGCTTGAGTATCTCTATGATGTGCATCCAGACGCCCGGGAGTCTTGTCTGGGCTGCTAGCCTGGCTGCCCGTAAGGGTTGGAGTGGTTGGAGTATCTGGGGCATTCTAGTTGTCACGGCCTGCTTGCAGGGTACCTTGTTGACGATGGCAATCTATTTCGACTCCTTCGGATCCAAAACCGAGTGGAAAGTTGGGCAGCCGGCTGGTCAGAATGAGGTTCCCGATGGATCGACTCTTGCTGGTGAACCTGCGCATGAGGAGCGACCATCTGAGGAGACGCCGCTGCTTCAGAGCCAGTGATGTGCGTGCGCATGATAGGTTTGCTATGCGTTGCTTCTATATACTACTATCCTGTAGCTTGGTAGAAAAGAAATCGCGTACAGTTTAGAATGATCGGTGATCCAAAAAATAAATTCTTAATAAATCTTTCCATGGGCATGTCGCAAGTCGAGGGGTGTCACTTGCGACAAAACGACAGATGTTTAAACCCGATCGCCACCGAGGTATATCCTCTTCACAAGAAAGCGCATCCCCCTCCCATCGCGTTGGGGTTATTTGTTTCGGGGCCCATAATTTACTGGGCGCTGTAGATCAGACGGAAGACGTCGTTGAGCACGAAGTAGCTTCCGGCACCATCGGGCTGCAGCTTGAAGCACTGGGTGTAGTTCATGGGCTTCTGCTCCTCATCGACCTGTTGATAGAGAAATTGACATTAGCTAAGAGGACAGCAGTTATGGGCATTCAACATACGAGGAGAGCGCCAGTAACCAGGACAACAATGCCATCTCCGCTGGAGGGCTGGGCGTCGAAGGTAGCAATCTGGTGCTGAACCTTCTGGAAGGGCAAAGCCTAGAGTTGCAAAATCAGAATTAGAGTACTTGAGATGAAGGATTTCGGGATTGACGAACGCTGAGCTTCTCAGTGATGGCAGAGACACCCTGGACCGAGCTGGTCTCGAAGGTAAGCATAGACTGGTCACGCTATTGGTTGATTAATGTTGTTAGTCCACATTCCCATATCTCTTGCTTGTAAGGATATCTCGAGAGCGAGGCTTACGTAGAGGCCAGCCAGGCCAGCGCGGTTTCCGTCGAAGGTCTGGTAGTAGAATTGCACAAACTGCTCTGTGCAGGTTGATCACAAGTTAGGACATAATTCTTTGTTTATGATATGTCATCCATCTCTTGGGGCATCGGTTTTATCTAGGATGACCCGGATCGGGGGAAACAGGCGCATCGCTGGATCTGTATGGATGAAACAGGCAAGCGTGGGTTTAACGTACGAGCAATAGCGTTGAAGTCTGTACAAATCACCATGCTTGTTAGCCAATTTCTCAAATTTATGTCCGCATTGTTTTCTTCGTTAGTTCCCATCGCATTGCGCATAACATAGTCACACACTGCTGTCTGGGATCCAACTGATCAGACCCCTCCATCCCCTTCGAGAGGGGCGTATGTGAACCAAGTGTGAGGGGAAAAAAAAACATACCAGCCATTTTGATGAACTTTTGAATTTGGAATGAGGAAAGAAAAAGGGGATGCGATTGTATTTGAAGGATACAGGAAGTTGAGCGCGAAAGAGAAAGGTATTTGTTGATGAGGGGTTGTGGGGCAGGAAATGTTCTGCCAACGATGCCTGGCTGCCTTATGTGTTGAAGAGCCTCCGCTTGACAGGTCATTTAGGTGCTGCAACCGTCTCTATCTATGCAAGGGATATAGCTTTTCAATAATCGTTCAATGTTCGTGGTAAATCATTATAAGTATCTTTCAAGTATCGTCCGGTGCTATCCATAATCTGTACAATTGAATGCCCAACCTTACTCCGAGTCCGAAGCAAACATATCTTCAGCTTTGGGTCGTGGCTTTCGTCGTCGTGTTTCTGGCTCCTGCTGCCCAGCGGATTTTTCGGATTTGTCAGATTGAGTTGGGTGCTGAGGTAGCTGGAGTATCTCGGTTTGGGTATCTTCATCGCCCAATGGCGGCGTCTTAAGCATGGTCTCCCCATCAACATTCTTCAAGTCACGAATTTCCATTGCAGTTCCATCCTTTCCATTCACTGATTCATCCACTGCATCAATAGGGGTAGATAGCTTGTCCTCATTCACAGAGCGAGCAGGGTCAAACTTTCCACCTCGCTCATCATCAACTGTCTTCCATCGACTTTTGCTTTTGGCAAATGCAACAGCAGTCTGATCTGCCTGGGCCTTTTCCATCTCCTTCTGCTTCTGTAATTCTGCTTCTGTGAGCGGTGGGTTCTCAAATACTTGGGTGAAATGTTCCTGGTTCAATTGCGTAAAGCAACACCACCCTTCCCACAGATGTAAAAGGGAGCCAACGCTGCGCTTCCACTTCTCTGCTTTCAGTCGTCCCCATTTCAGGTCCTTATCCAGTCGGCCAAGGTGCTCAAACACCTTCCGCGAGCGGAGAGCGTTTTCAAACAGCTGGCGGTATCGCCATACATGGCGGACGCCACTCGTTGCCGAAGACGAGAGAATATCAGAGATTATGTAAAGACCGACTAGCTTCGCAGAGGACATATCCAATGGTTCAACGGATGGGGTTGGATTGTCGTTATCTGTGATCGCAAGTCTCGCAACACTTTTTTCCAATTCCCGATTTGGGTTGGCTCCGGTGTAAGCGAGTGGCCGGAGAACGTTTCGAATAGCCATGTCCACAACCTCGGATGCCCCTACTGCCGCATGATCGATTGCGAATGCTGTGACTCGCACAACATCTCCTCGACGGAGCTTTGAATGGGTCGTTGGAAGTCGTGCAAGAAGATGAGTGAGTTTGGCCATCTTCAAGGGGTTCAAGAAGTTAAGTTCATCGCCGCGTGTGTTGGTTCCGTCCGGTGCTCCACCAAAATTCCGTCTTTCATCTTCTCCATCCGAATTTTCTTCGTCAGATGAGTCGTAGTCGGGGTGTGACACGAATTGGTCCAAGCGAGTAACGTTTTCAAACTTGAGATGCTGTTTTGGGGGTAACCAGGTCGGACCACCCTCAAAGATCATAGCCGGCTTTTCAATGTTCTTTTTCTTAGGATCTGTGATTATTTGCCATAGTTTCCACCGGTAGTATACACCACCAGGCGACCTTGAATCGAACAACCAGGCCCACTTTTCGTCCATCTGGACTTCGGGCCGACTCATCAACAAGGCCTCGAAGCCAGGACCCTGTTTTACAAGTTGCTCAATAGTCTTGTGTATCTGCCTCAACACTCTTATGTCTGTTGGTAGCTCCACCTGGACCCGAGTGGTAGGGCCGTTCTGACCAACGTTTGATCCATACGAGCTTGGGGGTGCGATCCCACCGCGATGTGATCCTGGTGGTGGAGCTCGACTCAAGCTTGTGCCGGAGCTCTGTGGAGTAGGCTTGGCACTAAACGGAAGAGAAGTAGTAGTCGATGAGAGGCCGATTGGCAAAGGCATGTTTGGATTGATCGCAGTAGAAGAAAGGTGTCGACAGAGGGTCAGGTAGTACCCCCAGCCGAGGTATTTGTTCTGCAGCGTACTCACGGCTGTTTCGATATGAGAGGCGGCTGAGTCGCTTGTGAGGGTGACGAGTGCAGAAGAGGACTCCCGGTGGGTTGGCAATTGTCCAGGTGGTGTGATGATCTTGACATTGTCGACGGTCAGGGTTGAAGGGATCAAGGCCTTGATAACCGACGGAGATGTCCCAGGAGGAAGCGATGCGAGGTACAAGGTGGGTTTGGGAGCCGCTCTCTCCTCCTCGTCAAGTGCTCGATCGGCTTCAGATGGCGTAAGCATGTTTTCGAATTTGAGATGGTCGCGACGAGAGGGAAGAAAGGTTTCGTGGGAACGTTTGTGTGAAAGTGAGGGCGGCGGGGGGCCTAAGGGTCCATGGCCACTGCCGCGCGAAGAGGGAGCTGCGAAATGACGCCTGAGGGGACCACCACCCCTGCCTCTAGTTGTATTCGACCCTCCATCCAAGGACTGTGGTACAACTGGATCCTCGTCTTCAAAAGATCTGACAAATTCTTCATAGACTGCAGCTGTTTCTGCTTTCTCCCGGGCGCGTTTAGCCTCCGCTTCAGCTTTTTGACGCTCAAAAAGTGATTTCTTTGGAAGCGCGGAGAGTTTCGCCGAGACGTCGGGGAAGCTCTTCCCCTTAGACTCGTCCGGCATGATGAGAATCAGCTGTAACTGTACCGCTAGCCAGTCTTCAACATAAGTAGAATGAAAAAAAAACAAAAAGATAGAAATCTAAAGAGATGATATTGCTAGATGAGCTAGAAGAGTGAACATCCTAATCATGAACCAGCTATAGTAGGCGGTCGAGCTTCATCCAATTAGCGTGCGTTCTCCTCGGGCACGTGCCCGGCATTGCTTTAACTAGAAGTAGTAGGCGGTGAGTGTCCAAGAGTTTGTCCTCATCGACAACACCATGAGTTGAACGATAAGGAAACCCAAACAAGCCGGGAATACATAGGGGTTGAGGCTTACAGGATCTAGGCCTGTAGAACGTAGAATAGCCGGTGTTTACGAAGGGGGGAGAAATCATAAAATCTTTAATCAATGATGCTGATGATCTTAGTTGACCCTCGAGCTAGTAAATTATTGGTTGGACTTCAATCGGAGTGTCTTAGCGTAGGAGCTCTGTAAGAACCTAGTCGGATTAGATGAGTCGTTAACAGTCGGAATTGATAAAGTCACGAGCTGTGTTTAGAGGGATGAATGTCAGAGGTAGTTGGTAGAAAAAAACATCTGGCGAGGCTGGGCTTTGGCGTGATGCTGAACGACAGCCTTCTCTCATTAGACTCAAGCGATTTCAGGTACATCCGTCCTCGTGATGTATTTTGAAAGAATTCCTCGAGGTGCGCTTGCGAGCTAGTGGAGAAGTGATGGGAAATAGACAGTGCGGAATAGACCCGTGGCTTGGAAACAGGGAAGAGGTGATTTGCATTGCCGAGTCTCTGAAGAAACCTCACCGTTGTTCCAAAAAAAAAATACCGGAAATGTGAGCGCACAAATTTGTTTCCTAGTAAAGGTCAGCGGGGGAGGAAATAGATGAGGTTTGCTCTATACATGCCAGACAGCCCTAGAGACCTTAGCCAGTAGTCGTAGCTTGGCGAACCCACGGTTCCCTGGAGCCAAACTTCAGGAACATGTACGGAGTAGGTCCATTGGAAATCATTCTATGTTGAAGGACTTTTGTGGTGCACCCTAATCCAATGAGAAACATCTAGGGATGTAGACAGAATCTATATGTTTGTGTTCTCGATTTGCACCGAGTCAGATGCTAACATTCTTTTAGAGCCCAGAAAATTTGTAAATGTCTGTTCGAGATTTGTACGCTATAGAAGAGCTATTCAATAACCAACCTGTCCTTAAATCTCTCCGATTCTTCAATCTATCTCATTCAGCATTTATCCTCTTTTCCTCTACTGTCTGGATTGTTTCAGTCGTAGACTTGCTTTGAGGACCCTCCTCTAGTGCAACATTCTTCCCCACGGAAACTGTGACATTGAGCTCAGTGTTCCGGTGACTGTCCATGAGAATGTTTTATTTTAAACGTTCTCGTAAATGGGAAAAGCCAATGCGAGAACGAAGCCCATCAGTGGGATTGTCCTGGCAATGTGAGCATCCTTGTTCATCTGCAGAGTGTCACAATGTTGATATCTGAAACTTGGAAATGCCCTACAAAACCAGGTTTTTCAAATAATCCACCACAGCTCCCATCATGGGAGGAAATACCATGCACCTGAGATGATTGCAACGAGCAAAGAGCCATCATGCTTGGTGTGATAACCAAGGCCACGAAGAGCTAGAGAGAAAATGGTTGCAAAGCAGCACAGTGGATTTTTTTAAATAGGCGCAGAGCTTACCTTGTTGATTCATCATGTCATTCGCCGACTCAAAACACAGAACAAGGTTAATCATCGCCACTGAAGTATAGCCCTCTGTGGTCATAGCGGCCACCGAGAAGACGCAGCAGAGGATTAAGTTTATTTCAGCCTATATCGAGGCTCGAAAGCTTTCACTTTATCAAGCCAGTAGTTACAAAACGGTTGAAAGTACAGAGGCCCTGTGTAATGGTAAGTAAGTCGGCTAGGGGAACATTGCTTGACTTCTACATCTGGGAATAGTCTTTATCATGTCACTTGCATGATTCTGTGGACTTTTGATGGGCTTCTTCGCAATACTTGATTAAATAACCAGCAACGGCTACTTCTGCTTCCACATAGCATTACAGACTCTACACGCCGAAGGACAGATCATTTTTGCTTTTTGAACGGGCCCGGTGTTTTCACCATGTTCGGAGATTTGCGCTTCCAAAGCTTCTTAGTCTGTACTTCCAATCTCAGGGAATGAAGCTGATCAGCAGAGAATGTTGAGCAGAGTGATGAAATAGGCCATCCCAGATATGCCCATTGGACATACTTCAATCTGGAATTGTCGTCCACGGTGTTCGCAAAGAAGACACGGGAGACAAGGAGAGGTGCAACAAAAGTTCCCACTCCCTGGACAGCTTTTCCTAAGTCCAGAGGGATCTAGTTATCTTTTGGGATCTGTGGATTGAATGGGAGGGGTCAGCTGCGGTTTCTAGTGTGGACAATCCAGCACCAGCAACAACCTGTCAATAGGGTTAGAAGTTCATCTCGGGGCGAGTTTATTTGTTGTACTCACAAACAGATTGACGCAAACTCCACCGAATGACATTTTTTCGCCACCAGGCCTGAAGAGACGAGATCCAACAGCTAAAACGATGAAAATGAATCCCTGGAGACGTGATAGTCCACTTAAAGATACCCATGATGACTCGTTAAATACTCCATAAACGGAGGCCTATTGATATTCACGCTTGCAGCCAAGTCGGACTTGGAATTTAGAAACAACCCCCGGGTTTTCCCTAGCTTTTCCTATGCTCCGGATTGAGCCCCAAGAAGGTTCCGGCAACGGGACAATGCGTGGCAAAGCCATACAAATCTCTTCAGATCAACTACCATTCATCCCTAGCTCACTATGTAGCACCAGTCTTGTGTTGAATCACAGAACGAACAGGCTAACCAGAGCCGTGGGCAGGGTGGTTTATTTTAGTTAGTGGACCGGATGCGAAGCGGTTTAGGTTGTGGGAAGCCGGGGAAGCTTGGGGCCGAGAGACTCCTCACACATACTTGAAACTCGCTGTGCTTTGATGAAGATGATGTAAAATCATCGATGTCGAATGTGGCCTTGCCACCATCTATGCCCAAAAATTATACTCTTTTCTGGTCAGCCTCACTGGTAAGACGTTGGGATGATCTGGGATTCCTTCACAAAGCCCGTTATATATTGTGCGCTTCATGATTTGGCTTATCGGAAGGTGCACACATATCCTGTCCAATTGAAAAACATGGTGGTCCCCAAATCGATTACTGTTATACCATGACACGCGTGCTTTCATCCGCAGTATGGAATATACGGTAGACTATGATCTAGGCGTTGTAGGGTTCGTGGTTGGTCTTTAAATCTACAATCACCCAAGAATGAATGGCCTGGGAAGACCATGAACGGGGATCGTGGCGGGAAATTAAGGAAAGCGATATTGCGTTTGCGTCCTTTCTGAGATGCAAGTGTGGAGCTGAAGACTTTTCTATAGATCTGGTGTTTATATGTGAAGCAATAGAATTGGATCTTCATCGGTTCATCGTCCTTGTTCCGCAAACTGGGGTCTTTGGTTGATCAGCTCGAATGTCTCATGTGATGCAGCGCTGAGCTCCGCGATGCACAATATCATGTTGATCAAACAGGTCTAGGTGTCAAGAATAGCGGATGGACTGCGTTCAATAATGCGCAAAAGTCTATCAACCGATGTATCTTGAGCCCATAGAAACTTTGAATATCTGTCAAGCATCTGTTGCACATTCCTATATCCTATTGAGGGGTCGTGAATTTGTTTCAGGAAGGAATAATGATTTTCCACTTCGCATCCTCGCTGTCTACTATGCGATCCTGGATGGAGAAATGCGGTTGATGGTTTGTATGATCTGTTAGTAAACCAACAATAATGTTGAATTAAACTGTATCAAATATACGATTACGGAGGCAACTGTTTTGATCTTTTCTGCTATACGGAAGGGAAAACATGGACGAATCTTTGACGGGTGAGAATTCCCCAGTTAATTGCGAACTACACGATCTTGTAGTTTTAGATGCAAGCCCTGGATGAACCAGGTCTAGAATAACGCCAAGGAAACATCTTGGGTTCTGCTGAAATGCTGGTCCATTGATACCAGGCGGAAATCAACCCCCATTTACCCAACATCAGATGGAGTCAGATGCGGTCAGATGGAGTCAGATGGGGTTGGTTCTGGATGGATCCCGTTACGCAACCTCGTACTGGAGGGGCTGGACCGAAGAAGCCCTGGCTGAAACTGTTGACCCATACGGCCGTTCCTCGGGCGGATGGGGGTGAGACCAAATCTCGCACCCTTTCTGGGTATGAGTAGGCAGATCTTCCATAGATACAATGATGATCTCAAAGCCCTCAACCCGAGATTCGAATAGAATTTAAAAGGACTGTAATGTGTATCTACCCCTATATCGTCTATCGTATCTTAAAATAGACTTTCGATTTAGCTGTAGCTGTGAATAGGAAATCCCCCAAGGCACGATCAGCTAATAAACGAGACATGATCATGAAAGGTGAATCTCCATATCTCGGATTACGATTAGTCCGCAAGACATAGGATCCGAGTTGTCCGCTCAGCCCTGAGGTCTGAACGTTCCAAATTTCCAGGTTGGGACTCTTTTTTTTTGTTTTCATGATTCCAGACTCGAGGCCCTGAACGGTTCTGATCGATTTCTCCAGATCATGGACTCTAGAGCCAAAAACACAAAGGGGTTTGGTATTGTTTCTGAGAAAACGGTTCAAATCGGATTCATGTAGAACCAAAGTTGGAACACTGGCCTAGAGCTGGTACCTGGAATATGTAGTTATGATAGTACTCCAAACTCTGTACCGTGATACCAGCAAAGAATATCAAAATAGCACAAGAGAGCATGCGGCATGCATAGTGGCGAAGTCCATTCAGGCCCACTGTAAACGGGATGGGCTCGCTAGTTGGTCGCCCTAATCGTAGTAGCGTAGACAGAGGAGTCCCAGACACGAAGTAGATCATACAGAGTACACCGTAGGATAACAA